AGCTGGCGCTGATGATCAAAGAAAACACGATTGCCTGCCAAGGAGTAGTGGCATGAGGTGGACATTCATCTGTGCATTCATCCTCCTCCATGCCTCTTTATTTATATGATTTTTCATAAATCTGGTTTCTCATTTCATTTTCTTCTATATGACCCTGTCCAACGTGGTTTGCGAGTCGTTCTTGTGATTCCCAACGGGCAATTTCCCCGAATGTTGTGTGTACAAATATCAAGTCATACTTACCAGCATATCCGGCTTGACACACGGCGTGACCGGCTGAGTGCTGGTCTGATTGTCTACTTAGTTTGTGAATAACAGCCTTAAAAGATACTTACTATTTCGTCATACTCATTATGAAGTACTCCATAGGTAGCTAGCTGATCAGGCTAGGCTGTCACTCTAGGTCGTTCCTGGACCCTGATAGTACCATTCCCAATCAGTACTAGTGTTAGACAAGGCGGTCAGCCACCAGCCTCACTCTCTTCACCATAATGTCAGTGTTAGTCATCCATTCGCATCCGCCAGTCAACTTGCAGTTCTTCTCTCTTTCTCTCTTACCTCCCTCTCTCAGCTATCTCCTTTACTTCCTCTTTCTGCATTTCAACCATCAGACCCTGTCCCCGGGGGAACAGCAGTCTCATTCCGTCTGGATTCGTCAGATTGGACGTGATTGGTGTGTGATACTTCTTTCAAAGGCTACTTGTAGGTTGCCTGCCTTGCCCATCTTCTCTTTTATTCCATCGTGTGTCCTGTCACTATCAAGTCACCCTTTGTCTTTTGCCTTCCTTCTATTCCCAGCTCAATTCCTTTCGGGACGAAGCTCCCCAATCATTGACTCTAGATTAATTGCCTTCCGACAACTATTGTCTTTTCCATCTGTCTTACCTGGGTGTCGTCGATCATCGTCGCGCCGTCCGCGGCCCTCGAGATTCTCCGTACCTCAGTCGCATATCTCTACTCTTTCTTTCTTCAACTCTCTCTTTCGCTCTTAGGAGCGCGCTCATCTCCTATACTTATACTCCTTTTTTCCTCGCTTTATTCTTGTCGTTCTCGTTCTTCTGTCAATATGTCTTCCATGCCCTCCTTCGCCATGCTACGGGCGACTACCTCATCTTCTCTTCACCCCGACCCGTCCCTGTCATCCTCTACAGCGTACAAGCTGCCAGACACTCATATTAAGTGAACGAACTTGTTCTAATGTTGACGATATCGGGTCTTAGCTTACTTTTGCGCTTTCCGCTCTCGCACGCGACCACTCCGGGCCTTCTTAAGCCACTGCCATTTCGCACCGTGCTCTCCTCTTATCACACAACGCTCGCGCCATAACTCAACGTACCCTGTGACATCAACAGATACCAGTTTCGAGGTTTTACGCGCTGGAACACGCGCCATAATGGACTCATACGAGAGTTTTGGATCACCCGGGAGGAACCGGGAGGGAGATCCTTACGCGGCTCGAGCGCAAACGGATTCTTACCGGCGCAGGTCACCTGGTAAGTACCTAAGAACAGTCAATGACGATCTTTTGAAACTAATCACTATCCGCCCTTCCCAGGAGCCCAAGACCGGCGTCGTGGTACACGGGGCCGTTCTCGCTCTCCAGTTATGATTGATCGTTACGAACCCTCAGTTCGCCGCCCTTCTCGCGACGATTACTATGCCTCGACTCGCGAGAATCCCTTTCGAGAGCGGGAGGACCGGCGTGCTGCTCCGTCGCCAACCGTTGCCAATATCGACCGTTACGTTCCTGGACAAGAGTCTGGCAAAAGACCACTTCCGACGAACCCTCTTCCGAACCCGCTAAACCTTGACTTTCAAGTTGGATTCAATTGGTTCGCAGAATGGTGGCGTGCTGAGCAATCCATCAAAGAGGAGAAAGATCGGGCAAAATACGGCGGACGGCGCCCATCCGATCGTGTCAAGGGGGAACGCGAGGCTCGCGAGGACAGGGAAAGAGAAAGAGCGCAGATCCAGGCTGCTTATGACACTTACAAAGTGGACCTCCAAATTAAGATGTCAAGGGCGTTTGTTCAACATCATCGAAATGAGGAGTGGTTCAAGGAGCGCTATGTTCCTGAAGTCAGAGACCCTCTTCGCCGACGCCTGATGGATTTCCGTGTGGGTGCTTATCAGCAATGGGAGCGGGATCTTGAAGGCGGTCTGTTTGATGATTTCACTTTGGAAGGGATCTACAAGACTGAAAGCGATGGCGCAGGTGGTGTTATCGAGAAGGAAGAAGGCGAAACAACTGCCGTTGGCGAGACACTGGGTGTTTTGGACTTGCTTCCTGTCAGAGGTGGCGACTTGCGCGATGAGGCTTTGTCACAGCCAGCCTTGCTGATTAAGACTTTGGCACCCAATGTGAGCCGTGCGAAGATTGAAGAATTCTGCAAGGAGCATCTGGGGGAGCAGGACGGCGGCTTCAAGTGGCTCAGCCTGAGCGATCCGAATCCTTCGAAGAAGTTCCACCGAATGGGTTGGATTATGCTCCACCCAGCTCCAGAGAGCGCAGTGATTGAGAGAGGAGATGGCCGAGAGGAGGAAGGCGAGGAAATGGATCATGATCAGGGTGCCAATGGGTCCGCAACTGTATCTGCGGCGGAGAAGGCACTGGAAGCTGTCAACGACAAGACAATCCATGATCCCGTTCACGGAGATTTTGTCTGCCATGTCGGTGTACACGTCCCACCTTCCCAGACACGCAAAAAGGCTTTGTGGGATCTATTCTCCGCCCCAGAGCGTATCGAACGTGATCTTGAACTGGCCCGACGTTTAGTCTGTAAGCTTGATGCTGAAATGGGTGGAAACGCCGATGGTTATTCCAAAATTGAAGACCGTGTTGAGGAGCTGCGCGGAAAGGGTTGGCTTCAGCCTCCTGTCACAGGCCCTGTCAGTGTCAAGAAGCGGAAACCTGACTTTGATCCCGCTGATATTGACGAGGGTGAGGCGGAAGAAGGTGAAGAGCAAGAAGGATGGGACGATGACGAAGTCGATGATGAAGAACTTCTGGCCAAGAAGAAAAAGTTGGACCTTGCGGTCGAATATCTACGCAGAGTCTACAACTTTTGCTTTTTCTGCGTTTTCGAGAGCGACTCGGTGCACGAACTTGCACGCAAGTGTCCTGGAGGTCATCTTCGTCGGCCGCGAGCCGGCCTCACCAGCCAGTCGAAAGCCGTCGCCAGAGCCAGTGCCCTTGGACAGCCTTTCCCTGTGAAGAAAAAGGAGCCCAGCGAAGAGGGGGAGGAACAGCCGCCTGTAGAGGAGAAGAGAACGCACCGTTTGTCTAAGGCTGAGCAACAACTTCAGCGCGCGTTTAACTGGGTCCGGACTTTTGAAGATAAGCTCTTGCAGATTCTCGAGCCAGATAATGTGGATATTAGGAAACTCGGTGGCAAGCCCGTGGAGGAGGCCCTTGAGGAGGAATTATCGAAATTTGTCAAGCAGGAAGACGAAGCGAAGTTCCGGTGTAAGGTGCCGGAGTGCACAAAGCTTTTCAAGGCCGAGCACTTCTGGCGCAAGCATGTGGAGAAACGCCACACTGAATGGTTTGAGAACATCAAGAGTGATGTAAGTTGCGCAACCATGTCCCAGACTGGATGGAGCTTACAGCTAACAAATACAATAGCTCTCTCTGGTCAATTCTTACGTTCTCGATCCTGCTCGAATTGCCCCCTCGCGTTCCGATGCCAACAGCAATGGTCATTTCCCTCTTAGCTCCAGTCAAAACCAGGCCGGCACCCCTCGTGGTTTCAGCTTGGCCAATTTGCCGCCTTATCTTGCAAACAACGTCAACATCCCTGGTGGAACTCATGGTCTCCCCGGCGCTGCTGGTATTCCGGGCTTCATGAACGTAAATAACCAGGCCTGGAACGCGAACGGCTTGGTAACCGGCGAGCATGCTGCTAGTCTCCATCATCCTGGTGTCATCCGTCGTGGTGGGGGTCGTTACAACAACCGGTCCGGACCGTATGACCGGCGTGGCAACCGTCAAGGCGCTTCTGGTGGAGGTCATCTGAGCCCCGTCCGTGGCATGCCGAGTATGTACAGTGCCGGAGGTCGTATGGGAGCGAGTGGTGCAGTGCCGTATATTCCTCCTGGCCACCCTGCCGCCGCTGCGTTGATGGGAGCAGGTCCATTTCCTGATGCGATGGGATCGGGACCTGGCCAGCAGGGCATGGGACCCCGCGAAGCTACTCAGGGCCGCAGCATTAAGAGCTATGAGGACCTCGACGCTGTCGGCGGAGCAGGCAGTGGTGAATTGAATTACTAAGCTGTGGCTTACGAGTCTCGTTTCTTGGTCTAGCCGGATTTTCGCCTGGATCCCCTTCTTTCCACCTTCACTTCTTCGATCGCCAACTTGACAAAGCTTTTCCTTTCTAGGGATGTGCACCAGTTCCTTTGCGGCGGTTTAGTTCTCTTTGTGTCCGGATCAATATCTGCCACTGAAAAATTTTTTTACATACTTTGATAAATGCTGTGATTCCGCATAATTCAGCCATACACTTTTCCTTTCCTTTCTTTTCCCTGTCTACATTATCACTGGCGTGGTTCTCCTTTCATCAGACTGGTACCTCATTTTCTATCCCTTGTACTCTCTTTCCTTTTTACTTTCTTCTGTTTCAAGGTCCTCTGGGATTTCATTCATGGACCTCCGGCATCCTCTAAGTGTACCATACTTGCGACTGAGATCTAGGAGTTAATGAATTGTCTTTGTTGAGTATGTTCCTGGATAGTTGTAGACATCTGACAAGATATTGGTGAGTTAGGTTGATCGTAGATAAGCTGCTTGGTACAGAAAGTGATCCTTTCCAAGATGAACCTTAACACTGAGAGATGTATGCCATAAACGGTGACACTGATTCTCTGTGTACAGAAATAAGTGTGTGATTACATATAAAAACACGAAAGGCGCCCGCGTGCCCCCCGCCCCAACGCCCCTAAACAAATTTCCGTGGTGACAACTGAAAGAGAAACTCGCCGCAGACTTATCCCACCATAAGCTAAGCCAGAGACATGACCAACCCCTTCTTAATGGCGTCACGTTCTTCCTTACCGAGGGGGTCCTTACCGTCAAAGCTCGCCTTCTTGCGGTCTGCTGAACTCCAGGTGGTGATGTCCAGGGCGTCGCCGCCAATCCGAGTCTTGAACCCTTTTCGGCCGTCATGGTAGCAGCCGTGACGGTCGACGTACTCTTTGGTAGCGCCACCCAAGTTCCAGGGGTCACCGAAAGGCTTCTCGTCACGCTCGGGCAGTTCAGCTCCGTCATCCAGGTCCTCGATGACCTCATCAATGCCTGTGGGCCCGACAAGCTTAATGTTGTGTTTCTTGGCGTAGGCGAGGATGTGGGAGGGGAAATCCGACCGAATAAAGGTGAAGGTCTCGTCTGTTCCATCATTTTTCTTAATCTCGTCTGTGACATCCTCGAGGTCAAGGATGTCCTCAGTGGCAGCAAGCTTAATGTAGAGAGCCATTATGAATCCGAGATTTTTAACCTCAGAATCTGGCTTCAGGAGGTTAAGGTGCTCAAGCTTCGCGAGCATCGCAAGGAACGTGCGGCCAGCCAATACAAGGGTGGCGTAGACGGCGGCGGAGTCGTCGATGCTGTAGTCGAAGAAAGGAGGGTCAGCATTTACTTTCATACAGCGTAATCCAAGAGGTCTTACAAGTTCAACGGGGCTAAAGCGTCGCTCATGTATAGCATTGCTGTAGCCTCGCAAATTGCCCACTGCTCTTCCCAATCAAAGAAGGCCTCGACATAGTCAATGAATAGGTTTTGCACGACCTCGAGCGCGCCATAGCCCTCATGGTCGTTGAAGGTATACATGTTGAAGGCGTCTGGGCAGCGAAGGTCCAGAAAAGTATGCTGAGTGAACCACTTGCTCTTGCCCGCGTTGCTCAAAATTAGAGGATGATTGGGGTGCTCTGCTGCGGGCTTGTTGCACAGGCATGTCTTTCCCGCGTCGCAGGAGGTTTTCGACGTTTCATCTTCCCTGTCATCTTCATTTTCGCGGTCTTCTTCGTCTTCCCAATCGCTTTCATCTTTTCGGTCGTCTCCATCGTCGAACGGCAGCCGACAGATGCATACATAGGAATATGCCTTCACGGGATCCTCGATGGAGGACTTATATGCAGCGTCAGCATTGCCAGATCCGGAGATGCGCGACCAGCGCGTGCTCTTCATTGTGCGGGGGCCGTCCGATCTTGCGTCGCTGTCCACTTTGGCTTTCTTAGAGCCGCTAGAGGACGTGTTCGAAGCAGAGCGTTTCGGAGGCATGATAACAATAATCTACGGCCGAGGGCAATGAGTTCGACACAGCAATGTGCGGGACGGGTTCAGGACTCAGTGTTGATATATTCATCGTTTGTTGATGGTTTGTCGGTCAGGAGTAAGCCAAGACATCCGTATCACATCGGCTCCACCGTCCTATCCATCCGATCATGACCTTCGTCTCATCTAGTTATCCACATGCGGAAGACTTTGTAGTCTTGTAGAGGGGATGATCAAGTTAGCATATCGACGCCTACTGATATGAAGAGACTTGCAATAATCGTCTATTGATGAGGCCGTTCATGATTCGCCAGTAAGCCAAGCCAGAAGAATGACATCATCGGATATCTTTGGGCTTCTAGATATCAAATTGCGGTATTAGGGCATCTCAATGACTACTTCATCGCGACCGTCTCGCCACTGCGCGCCCATTTTGCGAATTCTTCGTTCGCTGGCTAAGAACAGGAGGAGATACATGTGAAGCGCGATCTCCCCCCACGCGTAGAGTTTCAGTATCACGGGCCGAACAAAGCTGTGGGGATTAGTCTTTCCATCAGATACGATCGGCGCTGTCGTTCTCTGTGGCATGATCTGGCGGTTGGTTGAATCTGAGCAGAGAGTTTCAGGCGCATCTTCCAATAAGCACCAGACACCCCAACCAGCCCGACCGTCCTTAGAGATGAAATCCGACAGGAAAGACCAGAAGCGGGAAAAACAGGCTAAATCCCAGTTCCGAGCCTCATTTTCCAGTAGACCAGGAGTGCCATGGGGTCTGTCTCTTTCAAGCTGCAGAATATTGATGCGGAGGTACCAATGACCCCTTTCCAACCGCTCCAAGTCCCTAGTTTGTTTCACAGGCTTATACGTTCGTGCTGGTTTCAAACGCCTTGTCAACATGGCCAGAGTGGGGGTGACGTGGGTTACAAATTGCTCCTTGGACACCGGAGGAAGCGAGGGCTGGATGGCTAATGGAAGACCATCAAGGCATACTTGTGGTGGTCTCTCGGGATCTGGTTGTGAGGTGATCTGCAAAACAGGATGAGGATCAGCCAGCTCGCAATTTCCTTGGCGCTCTTCGTTCAACTTGGGAGCAAGTATGAGAGCGTCAGAGACTGGTGCAACTTCCTGTAGCATCGACGATAACCCTGAACAATGTCGTTTGGTGGGAGGAGAGCCAAGGGCTACATAGGGGACCGGGCGAAGCAGGCCTTCAGCTTGGCCACGTATCGCTTCTGGCTGCGAGTCGGGTATGACACTGAGCGGACTCTCGAGCGAATCTTTTACAGCGCGCTCATTTTGCGGCTGAGGGAGTAGTGAGACGGGGCTGATTTGACGGCCATTATCACCCTCGGCATCTGAAAGAATCGTCGAGTCTTTGATCGTTAGTGTTGTTGAACCAGCAGTAGCGTTGAATAGTCCCTCATGCCCTGGGGTGGATCTGGCTGCATTGGAGCGTTTCACTTCCACATCTTCATCGGGAATCGTGCTCTGTGAGTTAGGAAAGAACGGTTGAATGCAACTCGATCCTCCCCTGGGGTCTGCATCAACGGGTTGATCCGTAGACATTGACTGCCCCGTAGCAGGTGCATCATGGCTCCCTCGACGCTCATCGGACGACAAGGTGATGAGCTGCTGCGACAGACTCTGAAATCCAAGAATAGCCTCGACCTGAGCTCGATATCGGACATCATCCCGGGCTCCGCTGGGAGCGGAGATGTGGACGAGGATCTCGGAATGCTTCATGGCAAGAACATCGAGATTTCTGATTGGGCATGGTGATCAGCTTTAATCAGCCTGAATGCAGAAAAATGCTGATCTTCATCCAACATGCGAATAACGATGGGCAGATGATGCTCAGATCGTAACTAGTGCATCGTCAATCCGGCATGATCAACTCAAGGAAGTGTTCGATTGGTGCCGTTGAAGAAGCAAAAAAAGTTGGAGATCCAGACTTGGCCTTCTCAGGCTGCAAGGCACCAATCCCAGTCAGCTGAGGGGACGTGGTTTCCCACTTGGGACTGACCCATTGATTTTCCTCTATGGGCGCCTGGCGGCCTGAGGCTAGCGATCGACCATCGACAGTCAATAGTCTCTTCCTAGGAGGTCTGAGCATCGCCGATCACCCAGCCTCGACTTAAAGGATTACGCTCCTCGGCTCCAGGAATCCAGGTCTGTGTTTCAACCGGGAACCTTGAGTATCGATCTGGTTTAGGTAAGTTTCACAGCTATGGTCATACTCGGTGATGATAGCTGCTCATCATTAGCTTCCTTATGCTATGCTATGCTATGCTGTTGGTGGTCAGGCGCTACCAAGTAGTACCGTACTACCAACAAGCAAGAACCAGATTTCGTATTTCTGGATTCGGGTTTCTGACAATTACTTTTGTAGATCGGTCTTCGAACGTGTTCGCACATGCCCGGAAAAAGGTGTTCCAGAGAGTAATTTATTGATACCGGCGATTGTCTTGGTCCCCGACAGGAATCGAGACCCTCACGCAAGGTTGCACCAACGAGGGAGAGAGGTGGGTAACAAAATAAAGAGGGGGAAAAAGGAATTGAAGACGTTAATAATCCGGTTAAGTTACATCACCTTTGTCGGCTTCCAACGCTCATAGTATCGACTCCGAGTAATTGCAGGGAAGGATGCGAAATACTGAAGCAGGCAAATAATGGGTTTCTTCTATGCAACAACTCAGTTCTGCCGTTTCCTTTCCATCCACTTCAGGTCCCCGCTGCATGTCACCATTGCTTAGCTTGGTAATGAGCAACGTTCCAACTTGCGTTCCTGTCAAACAGCTGAACTGCTCGATTGCTTGCATTCCTCCCCCTTACGCAGAAAGGAGGGAAAAAAGGACAGAAGCAGAGACTGAGAAGAGAACCCAACACATGGCGTTCGGATGATGTTGGACGCTCTTGAAAGAGAACACACAAGACCGAACGAGTGTACGACAATTAGACTACGAGATTCCCTACTTTATCCTGGCTAGTGTGGCGACAGACGGACCGAGCGCTGAGATCTCTCAATCTATCTAGGCTAATGCTGGTCTAGAGAGAATCAAGCGCTCTGAATGGCCAACAAAATCGATAGATCTCGTCAATCAGATCCATTGTTGACACACATGGTGCGTGACGCAGCATGACTGATCTAACTTCTACACATGAAATGCTGGAGAATGAGGCCGAATCCAAGCCGATGGGTCTTGCGTCCACAGTTACACTACCCAGTCGGAACTCTGAAGGGAACACTGACAGGGGCAGAATGCAGCCTACTGCAGCTCTTGCGAACAGGAATCAGGGACACGAGCATTGCTTCTCCAGAAGGATCCTATCTTATCATTGGTCAGTAATGTGAACGATCATATCCATACCTTAGGCAATAACTTTCACTGGCATTGGAGTTGAAGTGGGAAGGTAAGAACATGACTATTGTCTGCAGAGTTAGTACCTGTCTAGCCGATCGCACATGAGGTGATGCGAACGTCTTGGGTCTTCTGCTCCTCCGCACGGGTGGATGCATTTCTTTTTGCAAGGGTTTCCAACCGTCCATCTTTGCTTTTGTCACTGCTCTTATTGATTACCTATTGATTTGGGGGATGATCGCTGTCGAATAGCCTTCTCAGTTCTCACAACTGAGAAGGGTACTAAGGTATTAGTAATGACGGGAGTCGTTAACTAGTGTCCTCCGTATTATTACTCTATCGGTATCTGAGGGGCAGAAATTACCAAGCAGAGAGAGAAACCGGGTGGCGCGGTGCTAAACGAACAACCAGATCTCCACTTTTCGTCGACCCGCGGCCAGATCTGTTGAGCTTCGCGCCGACCATGGAATTGAAGCTCGACGGAGTTACCCGGCATCTAGTCTATGCTAGGTAAAGAATATAGATAGACAGATTTACGGGGTCTCCAAGGCAGGGTGGCAAATAGTGAGCCCAGATCAAGTCTTAGCATTATTAGTATCTCAAATTAATACCCCTCTACATTGTTACTGAATGAATTCCTTAGAGATTATTGAGGAACGGATCTCCCCGGCATTCTCCAGTGTGCCGGGCCACTCATCCTAGTTACCATAGTACGGAGTGGTAACCACTAGATGACTAGCGTCGGGAATTCAAATATCCAAGACTCCAAAGTCAAAAAGCCAAAAAGTCGATCAAGTAAAGTAGACGCTGAGGAACGATGGAAGTATTCATGATTATTTGATTGCGCACAACAAAGATCAGGTGTCTGCGGGTTGGCCCCGTTTCTGGCCTTGGCCCATGGACAATCACCTGGTCCAAGTGGGATCCCCGTTCCTAGTTTAGTTCATCTACACATTACAGTAGTAGTAGTAGCACTCTAGATAGATAATAATAATAACAAGAATGATGGTTCGCAAGGCGCATTATGGAGTTGTTAGCCACCGATCTATCCGTAAATTGAGCTCTACTACATCACGATCATACATTCATACTAATAAAATAGTCGACCCTACTGGGCCCCGTCGACTTTACCAGTCACTTTAGTCGACTCCGTACACTTTCAGTCGATCTTTCTCAAGTCTTCTCCCACTCCTAGTTCCCCGTCCCACTCCCCGTTCGTCTTCCACTCCTCTTCTTAGTCTTGTGGCCCTCTCTGCCTTTCAGACTCCAAAAACCGTTCGAAACCTTAAAAAAATCCATTCCTTGAACTCATCACTTTTCCATCTCTGCGTTGCTGCACTATCCGTCACTGCACTCTCCGTTCCTTTATCATTTCGTTTGTTCTTCATTGTCCTTCCATCACTTGGCAATCTTAAGGATCGACTGGACTTCTCACAGCCATCGCTTTGCAAATCGTGACCTGCTCTTTAACTCTATTCTATCGTGTGCGCATCGGGGAAGACTTAACTGTTCGCTCCGTACGTTCAAATCGTGGGAGTTGAAGTTCCAATGGTGTTTCAATGGTGAGAACGCCGGGCGCCATATATTCTTTCTCGTATAATCTTTAGGAGAAAACTGACAGACTGTCTAGATGCTTTGAATGCCAAT